ATGATGATAATATAATAATAATAATAATAATAATAATAATAATAATAATAATAATAAAGTATATTATCTGTTACGTGAAGGAAAAAAAAAAAAGAAGGAAAAGAAAAAAGGAAGAATCGAAGAGTACGTCCTTTAGATTTCATTTTTTTTCGTTTCTCTTTTTTTCTTTACTTTTCTTTTTCCTTTTTTAATTTAATTTCATTTCATTTCATTTAAGACTTTTAGTGTACCTTAATCGAAAAGAGAGAAAAAGGAATTGTTATGTATCTGTATATTTTATTTTTTTTATTTTTTTTTGTAATTAACTCTCGTGCGTTTCTATTAATTTTGATAAAATAACAATGACAATTACGAATCTTTGGAATCGTGACATCCGTTCGAGAATCGTTACGACAAATAAAGTACTTGGATTTGGATTATTACATTGTACGACACGTTTTCATTGCGCGATAAGACAGACAGAGAGAGAGAGAGAGAGAGAGAGAGAGAGAGAGAGAGAGAGAGAGAGAGAGAGAATATTATTATAGCGACGTAATTTTCTTCTTCGTCATTTTTCTTGCGAGTCTAACGATTGAGAGAGAATAATCCGTAGGAAAAAAAGAAAAAGGAAAAAAAGAAACAAAACGAAAGACACGCGACGAGTGTGCGTTCAATTAAAAATCGCAAAAAAAAAAAAAGAAAAAAAAAGAGAGAAAAGAAAAGAAATTGTTTCGAAAAAATATGACGATTAATAAAATTAAATTAACAAAAGGAAAGAAGAAAGGAATGATCGTAGAAAGTCGTAGGAAATAAAATAAAAATATAAAAGTACGACGTGAAGAATTAATAAAATGACGCATGGAAAAAGAAAAACGAATAAAAGAGAATCTATTAATTATTGCGTCTGGCAAAGAGTAAATGAAAAATGATTTCGAAGATTGTGCGAATGATAATCAAAAAAATAAAAAGAAAAAAAAAAGAAGAAAAAAAAAAGAAGAAAAAAAAAGAAGAAAAAAAAAGAAGAAGAAAAAAGAGAAGAAAAAAGAGAAGAAAAATATGGCACCGTTGAAACGTATAGGATCTTGAAAAAATACAATGGAACGTAGCTTTTCTTTTTTAATTCATTTTTTTAATCCATTTTTTAATCCATTTTTTAATCCATTTTTTATCGTCGTAGTCGTCGTCGTCGTCATCGTCATCGTAGGTACTTCATTTTTCTTCGTCTTTTTTCTCTTGCTTCCTTCTATTTTTCCTTTTTCTTTTTCTTTTTCTTTTTCTTTTTCTTTCTTGATAGTTACGCGATCATGTTACGGCATAATGAACGATCGCATCCGTTTATCGAAGTGGAACGACGTGGTTCGTTCGTCCGATTGATTTTCCAAAGAACGAACGAAATTATTCGACGTGTTTCTCCTTCCTCTTTTTCTCTCCTCCATCTCTTCTTCCCTCTTCTCTCGTGAGAATCGAGAGAGAGAGAGAGAGAGAGAGAGAGAGAGAGAGAGAGAGAGAGAGAGAGAGAGAGAGAGAGAGAGAGAGAGAGAGAGAGAGAGAGAGAGAGAGAGAATATATGTCAGACGCAACAAGTCGCATACATTATTTTTTTTTTTTTTCTAAACACTTTGAAGCGTTCTCCAAAAGATTCAACAATTGATAATTATCAACGATTTGTTTAATCTCGAATGGATTATCTTCAATAAGAGTGATTTCATGGAATTCGATTGTAAAAGAAAAAAAAAAAAAAGAAAAAAAAATTTTTTTATCAAACGTCAATAATACAGATATAACGTAGCTCTCTACGGGTAATTTAAAAGTTTATCATTTAAAATAAATAAATAAATAAATGATTAAATAAATGGATGGATAGATAGATATATAGATAAGTAGATAAATAGATAGATAGATAGATAGATACAAAGAAAAAGAATTTATTATCTTTATTATCTCGTTCGCTTTTATCTGTTTTTGAAAAATACACATACACACATATATGTATATATATATGTATATGTGTTATATCGGTATTATTTATAATGAAGCTAAATAATAACCTCACTGCAATAATACTAATCATTGATCATTAATATGCAAAAATATTAGCCGCAAAAGATTGCATAAACATTTTGTTTTAAACATTTAAAATGAATCGTCGTATGAAATATCTCGTTCTTTATTTCTTTTTCTTTTCTCTTTTTTTTTTCAATGTCTTTCTGGTTTTCTCTCTCTCTCTCTCTCTCTCTTTCTCTCTCTACGAGGACGATTGTTCAGAGCCTCAACTTCTGCTCTCTACGACGTGTGCATGACAATCTATATGCAGAAAGAGAGAAAGAGAGATAGAGAGAGAGAGAGAGAGAGAAACAAGGTATGCACTCATGCTGCAAACTAGAGAGAGAGAGAGAAAGAGAGAGAGAGCAAATGTTACGACTGGGATTAACGCGTTCTTGTCGTTATGTAGAAATAATATATAATAACTCATCTCTCTCTCTCTCTCTCTCTCTCTCTCAAATTAAAAGTTATATATATATATATCCATTTTTTTTTCTATTCCTTTAGATTTTTTTTCTCCATCTTTGTCTTCCTAATTATCTACAGGATATGTCTTCTCTTTTTTTCTTGTTAATTTTTCGTTTCTTTTTTCTTTTTTTTTTTCTTTTTTTGATCATTCGTTTTTCATTTCTTTTTTACATAAATAAAAACGACGAGCGTGTCGCGACTCGAAAGATACGTCCGCCATTTCGATTTTTTTCCCCTCTCGATCATCGGCCGCCACTGCCGCCATTTTTATTATTCATCATGCTTATGCTGCCACGCGCGAGAGCGCGTTTTTCCTCCTCTTCTCTCTCGTTTTTCCTTTCTTGTTTTTTTTTTTTTTCTTTTTTCCTTTTTCTTTGTCTGTCTTATTCTTATTCGGAAATGTTTTTATCGCGTGGTAACAAATTTAAAATTATCAACGTGTTCCGTCTTTTTATCGTATTTGGTTTACATGAGATTTATACGGTAATTATTATTTCTTTTTTATTTTTTTTTATTTATTTACTTTTTTTTTCCTCGTTATTATTTTTCCTATTTTAATTTTCACTTCTTTCATTTATTAATATTTCATATTTTCTATGTCATAAATTTATTAATTAGTCCGTAGAGAATACCCATATCTAATTTGGACACAAAGTTTTAATAATTAATATTGAGAGAAATGACGATTATTATATTGTCTTCGATGTATTTCGAAAAAAGAAAATTTTTGTCAAGTATTTTTTTTTTTTTTTCTTTAGTTTTTTAGTATCTTCTCTAAAGACCAAAGAGAAAATTTTAGAGAACAGAATGTTAGCTTAACCTATTTATAACATCGCATTACCTACATAAGTTCTACAATATTACACACACACACACACACGTACACACAAACACAACACATACACGCACATATATCGCACATATTTAAAGGATCTCTCTGTAGAAATGACCTAGAATCGTTTAGAACGTTCAAATTTCCCGCATTAAATCGGACAAGTTATCAAATTGGCGACCAATTTAAAAGGAATTATTATTAATTCGATTCAAATTTTAATGGAAAATTTTATTTCACTATATTCGTAACGATTAAAATTGAAATTAATTAATTCAAACAAAAAAAAAAAAATCTAATTTTTATTATTTTCAATAATTGAAATTAAAATCGATTTTAAACCGTATGAATGATTTCCTTTCATTTTATTCGTCTCGATTAAAAATGAAATTATTTATTTAAAAAGAAAAAAAATGTTAAATATAATAATAATAATAATAATAATAATAAATATTTCTAAAGATTTCTGTTTTTTTTCTTTTTTATTATTTTTTTCGAGTTTTTTTATTTTTTAAATTGTAAAAGAAAAAAAAAATTAGAATTTCTTAACTTAGAATAGCAATGTGTGACCGAGTATGAGCCTCTATCGGTTGATAATACGCGAAGGACACAAGCTTACCTATGATTACTTAACTAACGCGATGCACGATTAGCCGCGTGAACACACATGTATACGCACGCGCGCACCTACACAATCGTGCCTCATATATTGCCGCGTAATGCGCGCTAGCGTACGCGCATGCGCACGCAGAGGCAGGCACGCACGCACGCACGCACGAAACGTATACGGTTAATATCGTTTTCGTTGTAAAAGTCGACATGTCAGAGTCGCCAGACGATAAAAACTGTCGTAGAACCGTTCCTTATCTCGAAACAATAAATGTTTCTACGCTATCGATATGGTGCTCAATATTTTATCATTTTTCCTTTTTCTATTTTCATTTTTTTCTCTTCTTTTTTTTCTTTTTTTTTTCTTTTTTTTTTTCTTTTTTTTTTTTTCTTTTTTTCATACGTGGTTTCTTTTTTCCCCCTTTTTTCTCTTAACCTTCCTTTTTTCCATTTCATATTCATTTTTATATATTCGTCTCTTGCGCAATTCAAGTTAAAAATGAAAACAAATTAGAATTATAGTTTTTTTTTCAATAAAAAATATATCGTTACATTTTCAATCATCTTACTAGGATTAATGAAAATTTGTTGTTACTTGTTCCTTTTTGTTTTTGTTTTTGTTGTTCGTTTTCTTTTTTTTTTTTTTATTTTTTTTTATTTTTTATTTTTTTTCTTGTTTCTGTTTTTACTTATTTACGTAAACGATAAAATGAATTCGAAGTGAGTGAATACGATTTTGTAATACGCGCAGTATAACATATAAAAATGGCGTCGATAATTGTCATTCGTATTACAGTATTTAGCAATGGAGTTGCACAGTTAGTCCGGTGTATTCGTATTGGTTAATTAAAGACGATCCTTGTACTTTAACCTTTGAGTAACTTTCAATCCGTTTCAGTTAACGATCAAGAGACACCTGCTATCGTTTACCGATAGCTTATGTATTATATATATATATATATGCATATATATATATATATATGCAGTGTAATTATTTACATGTGTATTTTTTATTAATCATTCGCGACAGTACGAATTATTATATATTTTATTTATTAAATAAAACTCGACATAACGATTTTATTATTATTATTATTATTATTGTTATTATTTTTTTTTTTAAATGTTCTTTAATCATGTTAACAATTTCTAGATCTATCTCTATCTTTCTCTTTCTATTTTATTCTCGGTGTCATAGAAAAGAAAAAGAGGAATATATATTTACTCCGTTATTTGTGTGTAATTATAACAGACAGGTAAATCCCGATGTTGGAAAACTACATGATGATGATAATGATGATGATAATGATAATAATGGTAATGACGATCATGATGAGAAGGGTAAAGATGATTCAGTGTTTCCAAATTTGGAGCGAAGGTATTGAGAGAAAGGGAAAAAGAGACAGAGAGAGAGATAGAGATAGAGGGACAAAGGGAAAGAGTGAGAGGGGGAGAGAGAGAGAGAGAGAAAGAGAGAGAGAAAAAAAAGCACATGTTTATGATGACCATATCTATATATGCAATTTCCACGGTCTTTAATTCAAGAGATTATGGAATACACGAAGAAGTTCTATCTTTTCGTTTACGTAAGCACGATGTAACGTGACTTCGAAGAGACAAAAAAAAAAAGAAGAATAAGAAAAAGAAAAAAGAGAATTTTATTCGAAGCAATGGGAAAGAGAGACGAAACAAAAGAAGTTGAATTAAATTAGAACGTGCCAAAATGTTTCCAAGTGATTTTAAATGTCAATTACTCTTTCTTTTTTTTTTTTTTTTTAATCTGTAATCATGTCTGCAAGAGGAAAAAAAAAAGAAAAAAGAAAGGAAGGAAAATCAAAAGCTCGAAGAATCATGGGAAAAAAGTGAGATTGATTATATAATAGAATTTAGAGACAACTTTTTTAATAGCATTTTGTGGAATTAAAAGAGAACAAACAAATAAAATAATCTGATTGTTTGCAAATAATATGAAGAAATTCTTCATAAAATTATTAATTGGTATGCTAATTAATATCCATTGTTATTTTAATAATGTAAAGTTTATATCGATATCAAATGGCGAATCATACGAACGATACCTCTTATAAATTTATATTTCCCTCACTTCTTTCCATTTACACTTTAAACGACGTTGTGTTATCATCCCCGTTAATTATTATCACTTCTATCATTCTTTTCAAAATACATATATACTCGCCATTGAAATAACTTTTAGAGAATATAAAATTTCTATCGCTTTATTATATATATACATATATATATATATATATATATATATATATATATATATATATATATGTATATATTATATAATATTTGTATGTATATATATATTATATAATATCTGTATGTATATATATATATATTATTGGAAGTGTATCATTGACTATAATTAACCTTTTTTGCACGTAACAGATAACGTTTATCTTAACGCTTATGACCAAATTTTGTTGGCATTTTTGTTTTTTTCTTTTTTTTTTTTTTTTGTTTTTCCTCTTCCAAAAGACATTACAACTATTTAGATAAGAAGAACGTATATGTCGATCCGATATCGCAACAAACGAAGACAATAATAGTAACATCGTATTATCGTCATTATTGATAACGGAGTTAATCGTTCGAATGACAAATTTTCCAAAAACAACAACAACAAAAAAAATAATAAAAAATTTCTCTTCTATCTCTTATCTTTATCTTATACACACATACATACAGACACACATACATACAGACACACACACATACAGACACACACACATACAGACATACACACATACATACACATGCGCGCACTCGTACGTACATAACAGAGATATATAAAATAGACATTTTTAAAAAAGGATAATATACAGATATATTAAAAATTAAAAAAAAAATATATATATAGAGATAAAAAACATTTAAAAAAAATATATATATATTTATATATTTATATATCTACATACTTGATGTATTATTAATGAAGAAAAAAAAATGATTTACTTACATGAAAAGTATTAATTTATAAAAATAAATCGATCAAAGATCAAGATCAACCGGTATCAGAGCATGCGTCGTATGTAACGGAAGATTTCGTCCTTGTGATCTATTTAACTATCATCCTTGCTTGCACATTTGAAGTTATTAAATTGTCTTTATATCATTAAAAAAATAGTGGGATGACGAATGAATAGTGATGATGTTAATAAGGAGGGAAGGGTATTGACTTCAATTTCTATAAGAATTTTCTCGATATATCAGAAAACAATTTCTGATATAAATTTTTCCATCGATTAATTATCTCCTTAAAACACGATAATTAATTTTAAATCGTTTATACCTGGAAAAATTAAAAATAAATAAAATCGAGATATCATTGTTAAATGATATAAGTATATACTAACCGTAATAATTTCGAGGCCATATTATGTTGGATATTTTCAAAAAAAAAAAAAAAAAAAAAAAAGAGAAGAAAAGAAATAATGTAGGAATAACTTATGTGAAACGCCCTATAGAATCTCTTCCGTTAACTGAGAGTAAGAATTCCATGAAGTCGAAGGTAGTAATGGCTTTTCTCCCCTTTCTAGAGAGATCTTTCACGCGTGCCTGTTGTGTGTATTTTTGGTACCATTATTTGTTCAAGAATTACGAAAGAAAAAAAGGAAGACAAAAAAGGAAGAAAGAAAGAAAGAAAGAAAGAAAGAATAAAATGTGCATGGACGTTTGTACTCGAAAAGAGACATGCTTTTTTCCGGTATCCAAATCTTTATGAAATAAACGTTTTTCTTTTCTACGGACATCTTTTTCTTTTTACACACACACACATACACACAGACAGAGAAGGGGTAATTTTCTTCTTCATCGTACAAATATCCATAAGGATTCCTAAAATTATATATACAAAGTTAATGATGATTATTGTAAAAATGGAAAAAAATTTTTTAAAGGTATATTTTCAGAGAAATTTTTAACAGAAAATACAAAAAATATTACCTTCGGTTCAGAATGTAAAAAGAAAAAATTAAGTAAACGTTACACCACGTTACAACGTAACAAATATACAATAGAAATAATTAGAAGATACTTTGTGGATGTGATTGAATTTAAAAAAAAAAAAAAAATTACTAGGAACGTAGTAAAAAAAAATATATATATATATATACATATGAAAAATACGATAGACATAAAATAAATGAAACAATAATAACTTATGCAACACATAACGGTACGAAAATAAAATACAAATATTATGTGAGCATATGAAAAAAAAAAAAAAAAAAAAAAAAGAAAAAAAAAAAAGAAAAAGAATCAAAAGTAACACTATGCTATTGGCACAATAGAAAGAAGCAAATAAAAAATAAAAAATAAAAAAAATAAAAATAAAAGTAGAAGAAAAAAAATATTAGCTTTTGAAAAAGATCTTGAAAAAAAAAAAAAAAAAAAGAAAAAATTACAACGACCCTAAATAAAAATATTTCATACCGCAAGTGGTACATTTTTTGCCAAGGGAAAAGAAAAAGAAGAAATGAAGTAATAATAAGGAAAAATAAAAAGGGCAACAAAACCAAACCAAAAAAAAAGGAAAGAAAAAAAGAAAGAAAAAAAGAAAGAAAGAAAAGATAGAAAAGAAATAAAATGTAGAGATCACAGTGCAGCCAACGTTGTTATGCGATATTTAAAGCGTAAAGCTCAAACTGCTTGGGTGTTCCACGCTTGGCAGATGACTTGGTAGAAAGAGAGAGAAAGAAAGAAAAAGAGAGAGAAAGAGAGAGAGAGAAAGAGAGAGAGAGAGAGAGCAGAGCTCGTGCTTATCTTAAAAGAAAACGAGCTGAACGTTAGCTTCTGAGTATCCGACACGAGACACCGTGTACCTTTTCTATCTTACCTTGGTGCTAATATCCTGCGGTATCAAGAAAAGAAGACGAACGTAGCAAGTTACTTACTGCATGGCAAAGAGAAAAGGAGGAAGAGAAAAAAAGAAGAAAGAAAGAAAAAGAAAGAAAAAAAGAAAACTACGATATGAACACAGAAAGAGAGAGAAAGAGTGAGAGAGAGAGAGAGAAAAAGAGAGAGAGAGTACAGTCGTCATCACGCCGCCATTATTGCTCTTTGCTAACATTGCTGACTAATCGACGGCACCTAAGTATGAGCCAGAAAATCACTCTGCTCAAAGTCAAATTTCTTTCTGGGGAAATAAGAGCTTTTTCATTTTTTCTTCTACTTTTTCTTTTTCTTCTTCTTCTTCTTCTTCTTTTTTCTTTTTTCTTTTTTTTGTTTGTTTTTCTTCAAAATAACGCAGAGAGTTCTTCGACAGCTCCTGAAAAAAATGGAAAAAAAAATGAAAAAAAACAAGAAAAAAGACAAATAAAATAAATAAATAAATAAATAGAAGTAACGATTCAAAATTTTTAACCAATGGAATGAGACAAATTATACACGAGTCAAAAGTTCCTAAATCAATTTTAAAGATTTATTATTACATACTCTTTTCTTTTTCTTTTTCTTTTTTTTTTTTTTTTTTTTTTCAAATTGTAAAACTTAAAGTCTAGAAAACTTTTGTCTCGGTCTGTACAATTTGTTAAAATTTCAAGCTATTTTCTCTCTCTCTCTCTCTCTCTCTCTCTCTCTCTCTTTCTCTTTGATTTAAATTAAAAAAATTGTTTTTCCTTCTTCTTCAGTTTTTTTTTAATGTTGGAGAGATCAGAGTTAAACAAAAATTCTATGATTTCACTTTCGCGACCCGTTGAATAATAAAATATAATAAGTCTTTCAATGAATTGTTTCGTTACCACCGGAACTACTTAATTATAATCGGCTTATTCTATATATTTATACATATGTATATATATATATGTATAAAACAGACATACATATATAATATACATAATAAATATACTTTTAAATATACTTTTTAATAAGAGGCCAACCTAACAAATCAATAATTTACAATCTATTTTTTCTATTGATATATCGACACATTTACAACATCTTCTATTTACTTAAAATATATGTAATCTATGTATGTTACAATTTCATCTATTTCAAAATCAAAAAATAACTATCACGTGAACAGACATACATAGAAACAAGACAGACAGACAGACAGACGGACAGACATATATTCACACAAAAAAGTCTTGAATTAGATCTATTGTTAATAGACATCAGTTTTCATTCTACTACTACTTCTTCGATTATCGTCATATATTGAACGAAAGAAAAAAAGAAAAAAAAAAATGAAAAAAAAAAGAGGAAGAAGCAGAAGTAGAAGAAGAAGTATAAAAGTACAAAACGGTATATCGACGAGTTTTTGTGAGGTATAATATTTAAATAACAATGCCGTTTTCTTACCAGTCATTGTAACGCTCTCACCGATTATTATACATCGTTTCGAATGCTATCGCGATTCTTAACATTCATACACGCATATATACATATGTGTATATATATATATATATATATATATATATATATATATATATATATATATATCGAAGAAGTGACATCAGACATTTAAAAATTATCGAGAATTTCCAAAAAAAAAAAAAAAAGAAAAAAGAACCCAACAGAGCAGTCCAAAGATTCTTAAATGAATATAATAAAAAAAAATCCAATTACTCGTGACACTTTAGATTTGTAATATTACGCTTATAATTTTTAAAGGCTCTATTAATCAGGCTTTACACGTTTACAAATCTGAAAAAGAAAAAGGGTAAGAAAAAAAAGAAAAGAAATAAATCCCAAAAAAATTGACCACAGTGTATCATCGAATTATCATCCTTCCTTAGTTCTCTGATAAACTTTGATAGAAAAGTAATGACAGTGATCATTTTTCTGTACCTGAAAGAAAGAAAAAGAATAAAAAAAAAAACAAACTAAGAGAAAGACAGAGCGTATACTTATGTATACATATATGTATGTATATATATATATATATATATGGATATGGATGATCGTTAAGTATCATACCGTAGGATATTTGATTACAGTCTCTGTTGACACAGCTCGTGTCTGGATATTCACTGCCATCTGCTAACGTTATTAACTTCTTTCAGTTTCGTTCTCAAACATATTTTTTCTTCTTCCACTTTTTCATCTATCTATCTATATATATATATATATATATATAGATCATGATTTGCTTAAAAAAAGAAAGAGAGAGAATGGGAGGAAGGGGGAGGATACCTATAATTGAAAAATATTCAAATGTTTTATATAATATTAAAAATGGAGAAAGTAAATATATATTGGAAGTTAGTAAGAAACTATTAAAACGGTTTAAACGCGCCTATAGATTATTATTATTATTATTATTATTATATATATACATACGCGCATATATGTATTTATGTGGAGTTAAACATAGTCAAAGGAATTAGTTAGCACGAAGAAACAGAAGAGAGAGAAAGAGAGAGTGAGGGAGGATGAGAGGGAAGGAGAGAGAGAGAGAGAGAGAGTCATTGTCGATACGATAGGACACTTCCTTTCTCACGTTACGTTATCAGCTTTACCTATAATCGTATGTGTATGTGTGTTCACGTGCGTGCACGTGTGTCTGTGTGTGTGTGTATGTGTGTATATATTCAGCTATTTTTTTTCTTTTTTTTTTTTTCTTTTTTTTAAGTAGTACATGGTACCGATAACGGGGCATTACGTGTAATGACGCATGAAGAAAGTTTTGTCCGTAATATGCGTCGCGTTGTTGAGTTATTAAAAAGAAAAAAAAAAAAAATAAGAAGAAACAAAAAGAACGAAGAAAAAAAAAAGAAGAATAAAAAAAAACATAAGAAAGAGCTTGGAATGTTTGACACACCAATAATAAATAATAATGAATCACTAGTAACAAAAAGTATATATAGAGTTCTTTTGTTTAGAAATAAATAAAGGCGGTGTTAATTAAAAAATAAAAGGAAAGATATAAAAATGAATGAGGAAGAAAGAGAGAGACAGAGAGACAGAGAGAGTGAGAAAGAGAGAGAGAGAGAGAGAGAGAGAGAGAGAGAGAGACAGTCAATGGTTAATTTTTCAATTCATTATAAAAATATTCAATAAGGTTTCTTTCATTAGAAATAATATTGACTTTTAGTTGAAAGGGGAAAAAAAAAAGAAAGGAATAAAATAAAATGATCATGAGAAAGATAAAGAGAGGAAGAAAAGAAAGTCGAGGGTTTTGTTTAAAAAGTCCAGGAAAAAAAAAATAAGTAAGGACAGTAAAAAAAAAATACTTTCTTACTTTTGCGTAAAGTCCAGGGAAAAAAATACTTTTGTACTTTTGTATTGTAATATACGTCTGTTTGCAAGTCAAACGATCCATTATTCCTTGATCTGACCTAACGAAACCCCTTTTCATATTCATTAGATCGTTTTGCTTTTCGATCAAATCAACATATATATATATATATATAACATTTGTTCGTCTCTGTGTATTATATATGGTGTATATGTATATAATCTATGTATATATGGATTTATATGTATATCTCTTCGAAATCTTTTTTTTTTCTTTTTTGTTTCTGTTTTTTTTTTTTTTTTTCATTTTTTTTTTATATTTATTTGTATTTATTTATATTTATTTGTATCCCTGCAGCGTAGCTGTCCAAGAGTAACTATCCATTCTTTCTTTCTTTCTTTCTGTCTTTCTTTAATTTTCTATTTTTTTTTTGTTTTATTTTGTTTTGTTTTCTTTTCTTCTTTCTTTTCTTTTCTTTTTTTTTTTTTTTTATATTATCGATCCTCTCGATCGGTATCCGATTTAAAAGACATTCGTAATCGAATTCAAGTATGTGAATGCATAACTCTCGGACGTAAGGATGCTGTTTATATAGATTGTCATCTCTCGTCTGTGTCCGTCGAATTATCTTCGGACGAGATCTTCCTCGATTTATCTTGATTTCGTTGAGTTATACGTGGAGATGTGGTTATTTTTTTTTTTTTTTGTTTTTTTTTTTTACTTTCTTTCTTTCTCGCTTTCTTTTTTCGTTTAATAAATTTTTAATTCCTCATCTCCTTTTCTCTTTTTTTTTTTTTTTTTTTTCGTCGGATCTTGATCCTTTTACTGCATCTCTATTTGTATATGTTGTTGTTGTTATTGTTGTTGTTATTATTATCAAAATGGTAATATGTGGGAAGATGTACGAGTGTGAAAAAAATTAATTACTCTCATTATTATTTAATATTATGTAATAATTTATCATGAGATTGCATTTTAATCGTTATTATTGTTATCGTTATATTAAGATTGTAATATAGAGGATATTGTAGTTTTAGAAAAAAGCAAAAAAAAAAAAAAAAAAAAAAAAAAAAAAAAAAAAAAAAAAAAAAAAAAGAAGGAAGAATGAAAAGGAAGAGTAATTAATTATAAAAAATTATAAATATAGATTATCATTAATATATACATATATATATTGTTTCTCCTACGATGGTAATTATTTCCTTTTTCTTTCTTTTCTTCTTTATTTCTTTTTTTTTTTTTTTTTTTTTTTTTTATCTTTACTGATAATATACCATCATTTAGCTGACGTCCACGAAGTCATTTTCTCTCGTTTTCTTTTTTGCCTGCTTTTCTTTTCTCTTTCTTCCTTTCTTTTTTTTTCTTTTCTTTTTTTTGTCTTTATCCAAAGAGATATGCAAAAGAGAAAGAAAGAGAGAAAGATATGAAAACGACTTGGTTACAGGATAAGATTACCGATTAACTCTGAGGTCTCTCTTACTTTGTCCTACATGAACGGTAGTCAAAGTTTCTCTATTAGAACCTCCTCCTTTCTTTACTAAATAATATATTATCCTTAATCATCTCTTACAATATTAACATTTTACAAGAAGTATGTTATTATGAAGTAATGTTATTATGAAGAAGGGGAAAAAAAAAAGAAAAAGAAAAAGAAAAGAAAATAAAACGACGAAATTGTTTGTTATAAATAATTCATAAAAGATTATTATAAAGAAATATATATATATATATATATATAAAAGAGATAAAGTAGACCAAGGAGATAAATGATTAGCAATAAAATTAATAGAAAATATTGACAGTAGTAAACCGATGATGAAGAGTAGGAGACCTTCGACTTAAAATGTCCATAAGGATATTATTATCCATCCGGTTTTAGTTAGCAACACAATAGATGTTAGAGAGAGATCTTAAAAAAGATGAATATAAAAAATGGTCTTTAACCGTTATTTGCATTTCCAAGGAAGATCGAATCTATGGCAAGGCGAAGTGTATCGCCTTCGGTTTTCTTCCTTCTCTCTCTTTCTCTCTCTCTCTCTCTCTCTCTCTCTCTCTCTCTCTCTCTCTCTCTCTCTTTTTTTCTTTTCCTTTCTCTTTATCACGATCGACTCACCGACGGGCTATGCGTTCTCTGAAAAGCGAACTACGAATTGACTTTTAGATGAAGAGCCTCTTTCGGACGCGTTTTTAAAAGTCTGGTGTCAAAGGAACGATGCATTGTATACGTGGAAAGAGAACTTATGTTTAGTTATATCCTCCTCTTTATGGGCCTTTTTGAGACACCGTTTCGTGACTAATGACGACGATATATATATATATATATATATATATATGTATGTATGTATGTATGTATGTATGTGTGTGTGTGCGTATATATATATACACACAGTATGGATCTTAAATTCTTAAGGTTTATAATTTTACAATCTGAAAAAAGTAAATAAATTAATTTACAGTCTCGAAAAAGAATTTTTTTTTTTTTTTTTAATCTAAAAACTTGGTCCACCTTGTACACACATATACACACATACACACACACATACACACATTGATTCACTTTTAAAGAATTATGAGGTAATTAATTTCATATTGGTAAAACGCAATTGATATGAAAGTTTTTTTTATATCCAAATTCGACGCCATTTTTGTTTCTTCGCGTATCAAAAAGATGGCCGATCGCGTCTATCATACCACGTGACCATCCCCATTCTCTGATCCTCTATTATAATCAAAAATATTAAGCTTATGGATGTTTAGTTTAAAAATGAAGAAGAAGAAGAAGATGAAGATGAAAAAAGAAAACAAAAGGAAAAAAAAAGAGAGAGAGAGAGAGAGAGAAAAATAAAAAAGCTAAATATATCAGAGTCGTGTAAGGACAACTTGGCCATCGTAGAACGTTCGTTGCATAACTCAGACAATCTTCGTGGAATGACAAGGATTTTGTAAGGTCTCCGCGTGCAAAATCTTGACATCCTTTCTCATTCGGTTACGCGGGCAAATTCGAATGGCCTATTGGATCACATGACGCGTAGTGTCTCTTAATATAATAATAATAATAATAATAATAATACTAAAAGTAGTAATAATAATAATAATAATAATATATATATATAAACTGATATTTTGTTTCCTGTAAAGTCATAACTTTTTCTTTTTTTTTTTCCTTTTTCTTACGAGCGATAATAATATTCGAATTGCATAATTCTCGACTCTCTTTTTATTTCTCTTTTTTATTTTTTCTATCTTTCTCGTTCTTTTTTTTTTTCTTCGTCTTTTTCTTCTTTTATTTCTTTTTTACATTTTGCCACGGACCTCTGCACGCTAGGACATAACACAACCAACAACGACGTGTATACATCACAGTGTTTCGTATTGTCTCTTTCTCTCTCTCTCTCTCTCTCTCTCTCTCTCTCTCTCTCTCTCTCTCTCCCCTCTCTCTTTCTCTTTCTTTCTCATTCAATGTCTGACACACTATCAGATGCTTATGTAAACGTGCATAACAATACTAAGTCGCTAATAATACGGCTGCCCGCGGCGGATGCATTTTCCTTCTTAACTCGAATCGTCGAAGCATTAGTGTCCTTTCAATACCCACGACTATTTCTAATGCAATAGACAATCATCCTAATTCTCGTTGGGAACACTGAGCTCCGATCATCTCGTTGAGAACGTCTGTCGATCTAAAAAAAAAAAAAAAAAAAAAATAAATAAATAAATAAATAAATAAGTAAATAAATGAATAAAAAGAGAGAAAGAAAAAGAATATATCAAAAATATAAAACCAAATGACAAAATTGTCCCTCTATGCTTTAATCTTTCGTTTAATTGTTATATCTTACTTTTTTTGTTTTTCTTTATATATATATATATATATATATATATATATATATATATATATATATACGTATATATGTATTATTATTATTATTATTATTATTATTATTATTCGTTTTTTTTATTTCTTAGAACGAGAACCAAGAAGAAGATGGGGATGTTTTCTTTTGGGATCCAACGTCGATCAAAAATCGTAATTCCAAAAATCAGAATCATGCTAGGCAATTGCAGGAACAATTGGCCCAAGCCACCATGAAAATACGTGAATTAGAAGTTGAACTTAAACGAACACAAAAGGTCAGATTATAATCTTTTCTTCGTGTTTTATTTTTTTTTAATTTTTTTATTTATTTATTTATTTTTTTTTGTATCGTTTCTATAATTAAAATTAGTAGAGATCTTTAAGGATATATCGTTTTCTTTTGATTTAGGTAAACAATGGAAGTATTATGGACGAACTTCCGGATGGCCATCAAAAGGCAGAATATTTACGAGCTAAACAAGATATGGTGAATAGAATCGTACGAATGGAAGAGAAGGTATAAAATGATTATTTTCAAACTATCTTATTATTTTCGATATTAATTATGTAATCCTTTTTTCTTTTTTTTTTTTTTTTTTTTATCTTTAGAACCGTGAAGTCGAAAGGAACGTTAAACGAATGCAGGAGGACGAAATAGCCTTGGTAAATGATTTTTATACGGTAATATCGAAATTGGATTATCAGGAAAAAGTCAAACTGATTCGAGAAGCTCTGAGAAATTTGGAAAATGATAAGCAAAAGTCTTCTTTAATCGGCAAAAAAGAAAAGTCCGATACCGATGAGAAGTTCGATAAAACTAATGAAAATAATGAATCTGAAAATTTCAAATCAGATATACAGGATAGTTCTTCGTTGAGTAATAGGGAAGCTGAATTGTCTAGGAAAATTCTTGAATTGCAGGATGAAAATAAAAATCTTAATATAGGTATCGAGGAACTTGATAGGCAACACACGGAATCAATTGGTTCGTATAAAAACATTTAAATAAATTAATTATATTACTTTGTAATTGTTTAAAGAGTTTGATTAGATTAGAATGAAAGGGGGGAAAAAAAAAAGACAAATGTGTATATTACCTTAAATTTTTAAATTATATAAATTTAATTATTTTTATCTCTTTCCTCGTAGAAAAATTATTATCTTTGAAGGAGGATATCGAGAAGAAACATCAATGCCTTCAAAATGCCTACGAACAACTTTATGTTGATTATAATCAGGCAGAAGGTAAAGTTTTAGAATTACAGACTAAACTTAATTCAATGGAGGAGACAAATAAGAGTCCTCTTAAAAAAGAATCATTGAAAAGCGAAGAGAAAAATGTTCAAACTGAGGAATATGAAAGTAACAGAAATAAAGGAAGAAAAGATGATAATGATAATGATAATAATGATAATTCATTGTACGAATTGGAACAAAGGGTAAAGGAAATTTTGAAAAATTCATGCGTAGAAACGAGTGAATCTAAAGAGTCAATTTTTGAGATTGTCGCGAAACGATACGTCGAGACAAACTGGAAGAAGGACGTTTTAGAAAGGAAGGTAACCGAGATTACGCGAAATCTAAAGGAGACGACGGAAATGAGGGATAATTTGCAGCTTGAATGCGACGACATGCAGGCTCACATAGATTCGTTGCTGTTAAATATTCAACATTTGAAATTGAATCTACCATCTATTCCTGAAGCTAGCGAGGAACGTGTTGCCTCATTGGAAACTGAAACGGAATCCTTACAGGAGGAAGTTAAACGATTAAGGGAAGAAAATGATACATTGAGAAAGAGATCAAATATTACTGATTTGATATCATTGAGATTGGAAAACGGTGAGATCAATTTAGAAGAGAATTTTATTGACAATGATAATGTCGTTGAAATTGTACATTCTGATGTCAGAAGGCGAGAGGAAGATTCTGTGGAAGATTTAAAACGTAAACTGTTAGAATTTTCCAATGAGACCAGCGAATTGAGAATGTCTTTGGAAAAATATAAGGAAACCATTGAAGAACTCAGATTAGGTAAAGAGAATATAGCTCACGAATTGAAAGCTTCAGTCTGTAGTATGGAAGAATTGGAAAGGGAATTGAAAGTTACATTGGACGTTAAGAATGAGCTCGAACGTGAAAATGGTGATTTGATTAAAGAAAATGAAGTGTATAGAGCAGATTTGGCTAGGTTTAAAGAAACCGCTGATGATTCAAAGAAAGAAGAGAACAATCTATTGGAACAATTACGTGAAAAATTGGACATGGTAAATATTGAGAGAAATGATTTGGAATATGATTTACTTAATATGAGAAAAGAACTCGACAATGCTTTACACGAGGCAGATGTAAAACAAGAATTGATAATGCAATTGAGCCAAGAGAAAGAAAAGTTCACGAGGGAGAATACTACGTTGTTGGATCAATTGACAGCGAATCAAGTTGAATCCCAAGAAAAAATTGAACTGTTGAACACTGAAAGATCTTTGCTCGAAGAGGAACAATCGGAACTTCGATTGGAATTAGTTACGTGCAAAGAAAAAATTCAACAACTTGCTAATAACGAAGATAAATATGCTATGATAAATTATGAATTTGATATTGCCAGAAAGAAGATAAATGAACTTTTATCGGAGAATAATGTACTTTATGGGCAATTGGATAAAATTCATGAATTGGAAAAAGAATTGAATGAGAAGAGAGCTGCTGAAAATGAGTTACATTTGTTAAAAAATAAATTTATAGAAACTGAAGCTGAATTAAATAATTTACGTTTAAAAGAGAAGGAAATTGCTGCGAAGGAATTAAATTTATTACAGAGTAAATTTATTGAAACTGAGACAGAATTAAATAATTTACGTTTAAAGGAAAAGGAAATGGCTCAGGTACAAGGTGATTATAATGAGATTGTAATTTTGAGAGAGACCATAACGGATTTAAATAATAAAATTTGTTTGTCCGAAGAGAAATGTAAACAATTGGAAACGAATATTTTATCGTTGGAATCTGAAACAAATGAAAAGATTTTGTCAAAAGAAAATTCCTTTGAAAATGAAAGGCATAAGTTGACAAATAATTTAGAAGAAAAAAATTTGGAAAATGAAGGATTAAAGGATATAAATAATAAATTAACAATGGAAATAATAGAAATGAAAAATCAATTGGAATCTACCATTGAAGCTAATAAAGAAAATTCTATTATGGCTAAGGAAACAATAGAAAGTTTATCTCATCTTATCAAAGAGAAGGATAATGAAATTGAATCATTGAAGTTGAATAATCAAGCAAATGCAGCTAATTCGAACGATCTTTTAACTATACAAAATGAAAGAGATGAACTTGTAAAATTAGTTCACGTTAAACACAATGAAAGTATACAGTATCATGGTGAAATTCAACGATTAACTCTACTCTTAAACGAGCAAGCATCTCAAGTTCGAAATTTGTTAACTGAGCAAAATCAAATAACTACATTGTTGAAGGATAAAGATATTGAACTTGCCGAAACTCGAAATGAATTACAAATTTTACAGCAACGATTGGAAAATAATAAGGAAACCGATAATAATGATGAAATTTGTAGAATTCCAGGACATTTGACTCAAGTACAAGAAATGGGAATTCTTAATGATAAATGTAACGCATTGGAGGCTGCTTTGATTCAAGAACAATCTAATAATAGAATGTTACAAAATCAATTTGTTGAAAGTCAAAGTAAAGAAGTTAACGCTGGTAAAGAATTAGAAAGATTGAGAACTCATTTGGTAGAAATTGAATCCAGTTATACGGAGGAAGCTTTAATAGCTGAAGAGATGCGTAAAGAATTAGAAGGGAAATTATTACAAGCTGAGGAAAAACTTAAAAATTCTTCTACCGTATACACATCGGCGAGCATAAGAGCGAATCAACAAGTTGAAACGTTGCAACAACAAATGTCTCTTATTATTCAACAAAGGGACGATATACAAAATAAATTATCTATGGCAGAGGATAAAGTTTTATCGCAAATGACTGCTTTAACTAATTTGCAAATAGTTTTGGAACAATTCCAAAGAGGTATGAAAAATCATTTTCCTTGGATATAATTTTGAAATTAATATTATTCGCTTATATATATATATATATATATATATATATATATATATATATATATTTTTTTTTTTTTTATTTTAATTCTAGAAAAGGAAAGGGATATTAAAAGAGCTATGGAAAAGTTACAATTGCAACTTCAGGAGTCGCATAAAAAACAAGAAGAATTATTAAACGAAATCTCCTGTCTTAAGGTTCGTTTTAATTTTTCTATATCTTTAAAAGGAATAAAATTATTAATTAATTTAATACATATATATGTATATATATGTATATATATATATATATATATATATATATATATATATATATATATGTACACGCATATAGGAACAATTAACAGAAGCTCAGGAGTATTTGCAAGCTGCATCTAGATTAAGTGAACAGTTGGATAAGAAAACAGAAAGAATAGAGCAATTAAATCAAGAAGGTAATTCCTTAAATATTTTTATACATTTTTTTTTTTTCATCTTTGTTTGCATCTTGTTCTTTACATATCGCATGGTTAGTGTTTTGAAATTTTTAATAATTTGTAACACATATTTCAATTATTTGCCTTTAAAAAAAAAAAAAAAAAAAAAAAAAAATAATAATAATAATAATAATGTTTTTGCTTTCCTTAATCTCATTATTATTGTCAAATAAATGAACAAATATTTATTTTTTAAAGATTGTATGCTAAGTAATTGTAAGAGACGCGTATGTCATACTTATATTCAATAATTATCTATTCTGCGATTTTTTTTTTTTTTTTTTTTAACACATACATTTGGTACACACACACACATTGTATGCTTCTACGATTTTGACAATATAAAAACATTGGTTATAACTTTTTGGTACTCCCCTGAAATGTTATTTACAGAACTTCGATGTAATAAAATTGATAATACTAGCAACAAGATCAAAACTACATTACAATCATCAGTTTGACTGTATGCTGTGACTAATCTGTGAAAAGACATTACACATATAATATCTGATAGTGTAGTCAAATATCAGCTGGTAATTCTGGGATTAAACTGTAGCCCCAGGATTCTTGCTGGTATCCGGCTACGAATCAGACCCCACCGCCTTTGCACACTAAATCACATCTTGGTTGGCTCATGCATTGCCACTGGTGCTGGTGCTCTCTTCTTTCATTTTACTAAATGTGGACATTTTCTTGAGTGATTTTTTGGAGGTATAATACTTTTCGTTGGGAAAAAAAAGAAAAAAAGAAAAAAAAAAAATAGAACTGATTGTTATGATTATTATTTTATAGTTTCTTCATAAATATATATATATATATGAAGGTATTGTTTTGTTATTAATACTTTTAGTATGAAAAAAGAAAAGGAAAAAAAATTAAATAAATAAAACAAAATGTATAAAGATACTTGTACTTTGCAGCTTTTGCTAGTCTTCTGAGACCTTGATATTTTATCAATATGTATATGGCTTAATATATATATATAACACCTTGGTATCATTATTAAATGACGCATGCAACACAAGCAAGTAAACAATGTAGACATATTAAAATTTATAAATTATTAGATACAAAGATTTTATTTAAATAATTAATTGAATATTTAAAAATGCAGGTACCTATTATTTAGATCTGATGAAAATGATTGTAAACTTTGTATATTGAGATATTAATTCAATTATTATCTATGTTATTATTTAAGGTATATGAACAAATTAAATTAATTATAAAAAAATATAATTTATTAAAAATTATATGAATCTAATGTATTATATAAATATATGAGTTTTTACCAAATCAAAATGTATGTTAGATACTGTAATATTTAATCGCATAATCATTGAAATTAAAAATATATATATATACATACGTGTTACAAAATTGGTGGTAACGTAGAAGTGGGTAATCTCATGCGGTAACCGTGAGTGTGTAAAATGTAGAAGCTCATATTACCTCGTGGGGTTTCCCACCCGTTGCTAATATTCTGCAGAAAAAAAGGGGGAAAAGATTTTGAAAATTTGAAATTACACAAGAGATTAATTCCATATAATAATAATAATAATAATAATAATAATAATAATAATAATATATAATTGGAAATCTTTAAAAAAAAATTTATTTCTTACACAATATATTTAAATAATAGTAGTTAAATATATATATTGACAAAAGCTTTCTTAATTTTAGTGGCATGTTATATATGATATCTTAGTTTGCTAGAACGGCATGATAAACGAAGAGAATGCAGCATGTGCAATTAAGATGTGGGTGTGAGTATTACATCAGGTACTGGTGTAATATCAAAACTACCAGTACTTGTGTTATACTTGCGCTCATGTCCGTTCAGCGTACCAATCTGCCAACTTTACAACGTCTCAATGAATGCACACGAATATATAAATCAAAGACTGTTTTCTTTTTTTTTTTTTTATTTTTTTTTTTAAAGGAATTTTCCTATTGTCAATTTTCACTTTTCTATTTAATTTGGATCATTTAGTCAAATCAATATCACAAGCATTCGTTTCCTACTAGTATGATATAATTTATATATTATATAATAAATAAATAAATAAATAAATAAATAAATAAATAAATATATATATTCATTGATTTTATGTTATTAATTTTCAGTTGAAAGATTAACGGAATTGGTAAATACTGCTGATCAGAGAATAGAAGAAGCAATGCAAAGTGGAGTAGGAAAAGTTGATAAGTAAGTTGATGATTTCTAAATTATATGATATGTATATTATCTTATAAATATTAATAAATAAATCATTTTTTTTTTTTTTTTTTTTAGGAGCCTTATGAAAAATCTCTTGCTTGGATATTTGTCTTCGTCTACGGCAGACAAATCATCTGTTCTAAGAGTATTTGCCACTGTATTAGATTTCACAGAAAATGATAGAGATAAAGCTGGTCTTAACAATGGTATTGCAAATAACAGCTGGTTTTCTCGTCTTAGCGGTGGTAATGGCGCTCCTACTAAGGCAAGTATAAATATTTTTATATCAAATTATATTTAATATAATTTTCATTTATTATATATTTATTATAGGATCAAGAGGCATCGCTTTCGGCTGCTTTTGTAAGATTTTTAGAAAGTGAATCTAAACCAAAACCACAATTACCTGCTTTGCCAATATCTTCATCGGTAAGAAAGACATATATAAATCAAAAAAATATAAAAGAAAAAAGAAACAAAAAAAAAAAAAGAAAAAAGAAAAATCTTATTCAATTGTAATAATAATTATTATATTTTTAGTCCTCACCTCGTCCAACGCATAGCAGACAGCATTCAACGTCGTCTAATCATTCTACATTGTTGCTTTCTAATGTTACACTTCCAACATTCCCAGATTTTGTCCCAGCAAGAAATACAGGATCTATATTGAAAGAAGTATTAAAGGATAGCTGATATTAAAAGCAATAATAAATGCAGTTAATATACAACACTCGATGAATAGCAAAAACAGGTTGTAAAAAAAAAAAAAAAAAAAAAAAATACAAAAAAAAAAGAAAAAAGAAAAGGAAAAATAATATAAGCTATAAAAAAAAAAAAATATCTCCTATCTGTTGTCGAGCCTAACTTTTTATTCGGACATTGATATTGTATAATATATTGCGCCTGAAAAATAATAAATTGTCCTTTAGCATGTTCGTGCTGCATTTATCGGATAGCTTGATTAAAATGAATTTCTATGATCTAAGCATGGAGAGATATTTCGGAACGAAGAATTTAGAAATTTTAACGAAAGAATTCATCATTTACAATGTGATATTCTTTCTATGGAAAAGCAATAAAAAGTAAGGAATATGTGTGTTCGCGATATTTTTACAAAAGGACACTAAAAAAATTTTCCCTTATCCTAAACACACACACACACACACACACACACACGCGCACACACATAACTCTCTAATTAATTTTATATAACAATTCCAATCAATTAGTAACTTATTAAAATTCTGGAATAATTTTCTTAAAAATCACGCAAAAAGTTGTTCTCTCACTCATATACAATAAAAACTTACTTTCTGCTTAGATAAAAAAAAGAAAAAAAAAAGAAAAAAAATAAAAAAAAAAAGAAAAAAAATAAAATAAAAAAATAAAAAACAAGGAAAAAAGCTTGTAAACATTGTAGAAGAAAAGGACGAAATGAGTTTAGTCGTATTAATTATTAGTAATTTAAAATATCTCGAAATATAATTATGATGATTTACCACAAATAATAAAAAAAAATTTCATTGCTGTACATAAAGTATATGTAGGTTGTTGGAACTGCACATGAAAAAAGAAAAAAAAAACAAAACAAAACAATAAATATATTTTGTTGTTCTACATTACCTTTCGGTTTTTTTTTCGTATAATATATATATATATAAATACTCGTTTGTATTTTATTAATAATAAATTATATATTGATATATTTAATAAGCCAATGATACGCGTAACAATAATATTTATGTACGTTGAATGTAACCTCTTTTTTCTTGCCAATTGAAAAAAGGCGGGCTGAGAAGTATGTATCACGTGATATTCAAAATTATCTTTCTTTTTTTTTTCGTCTTTCATTAATTATACGATTTTATATCGTGCTTTGAGGCTACCAAAAAAAATAAAAATAAACAATACGAATGACGTTATTAATATTTTTGCGATCTAATATTAACAATAAAACGATAAAATGAAAATTTATAAATAATTTCGTTTTATTTCTCTCAATATTATATCAATGATTTTGACTAATGTAGTACTAAATGTATTTTCACGGATCGTGGATAATCCTATTCTCTGATTGGACGATTTATTATGACTACGAACGATATATATCGAAGTACTATCGCATGACTAGTCGATATGGTGTTTTTTCCTTTCCGCAATGTGCCCAGCTGGCAATTGTCAAATACGTTTTAGAAATAAAGCAAAATAATAGAATTAATCATGGACGGTGATCGTACAAAGAACACAGATTCTCAATTTATATCATTCCATGATTTTTCTACGATGAATCAGCCAAGTAACGTTGGCCAAGCACAACTTGACATTGGTGCTTCCACTCATCAAACTTTTAATAATTTACCAAATGATTCTACAGGAATCGGTATTCTTGAAGATCTACATGGTATACCCAACAGAAATGAAGGTTAACAATTGCTATAACATTTATAATCAATTTTTCTCTATAACAATATATCAATCTAATTTCATTGATCAAAGTTAAAATTTAATTTTATTAATCATTAATCATTATATTATTTTAACAGATATACCTCAGTACAGTTTCTGGACAATTGAATATTATCAGAAGTTTTTTAATGTTAATACCAATGATGTATTAGAACGTATCAAAAGATCAATGTTTCCTCATACTACTGAAAATTATTTGGTAACGCACATAAGACCTAATCCAGATTTGTATGGTCCATTTTGGATATGCGTTACATTAGTATTCTCAATAGCAATAAGCGGTAACATGGCTAATTATTTACAAACGGCCAATTCTAGTCATTATCATTGGAGATATGATTTTCATTTAATATCATATGCTGCAATTTCAATATTCTTATATGCTTGGCTTTTACCACTTGTCTTATGGGGTGCATTGAAGTGGACAACAAGTATGAGAAATACGGAAGAAGAATTGATAGAAGTAAATTGTATAATATTTCTTTTTTCCTTTTTTTTTTATCTTACTTTTTTCATATTTACACTTACACAGAATAACAATAATCCTTTGGTTTTTTTTTTCTT